CCCCCCCCCCTTTCACTTATAATAATTCGTGATATTAATCAAAATCCTGGTGAAATTAGAATATAATATAATCTGGATGTTCAGAAAATCAAAATAAATGATTTTCTGTTGATATAAAATTGGATCTCCTCCTCCTCCTATAAGATCAATAAAAGATGTATTAAAATTTCGATCAAATAATAATATCAAATAATAATAGTAATTGCTCCAGCTAATACTGGCAATGATCGAATTAATAAAATTACAGTAATAGAAATTGATCGTGGAAATAGATTAATTTGATCGTAATTTAATGAAAAATTCTTTATCATAAAAATAGTTACAATAAAATTTAATGATCCTAAAATTGATGAGATTCCAGTTATATGAATTGAGTTTTGCGTTACTTGGAACTTGGACTCCAATTTATTTCTGATGTGTCTCTCCCCCTCTCTCCTTCTCTTTCTCTCTTTCTGATTCTATTTAAAGATACATACATCATGATTTCTTTTCGATATTCCGAAAGATGAGATTCTTCCTGATTGGAAATTCTGCGATAGACAGATAGGGCATCGAAATATATTTCCATGCTATTTGACTCAACTCATTGAGAATTAATCGATTTTATTGATGTGGCATTTTATTTGAAATTCTTCTTGCCAATCGATTTATGTCGTCGCATTAAAACTACGAAACAACTCCAAGGAATCTTTCAATGTCTTTCTCGATTTCACGAAATCGAGTTGAATTATTGACTGATCCTCCAATGGATTAATTAATTCAACGAAATATTCTGTCGAATTCTTTACTGAGAACTGAAAACTAAGACTACAGAAAGAAGTGATTTATGTCATCCACGTTCTATTTCCGCGTTGATTCGATTGCACCCATCCGAGAAGAATCCTTCCTTTAATCCAGAAACGTGCGACAGGATATCCAGGGACGTGTAAAATGCCGGTTGCGTCCATTTTCCAATTTGGAAATCTCGTATCGTATCGATCTCGCGATTGTCACGCGTGACGATATTTTAATAACCGACACTTATAATTAAATTTATAAAATCAAGTTTTTGGATGACTCCTTCTGCGTCTTTGAAATCCATCGATTTTTTTTTTTTTTACGATATTTTCACGCACGACGATTGAAGAAATGGAATGCCAATTAAGATTATTACATATTGTTGAGGAAGTGTGTTAGAAGAGAAACGTTTAGAAATTTTTTAACTCGCGTGTTTACGACATTTTCTCCGGACACGCAAGGAGAATAGCAGTCCGAGCGTGCTCATTGAGCATTGCTCGTCATTTCAAGCAACGCTATTTATTTCGGTCTTTTAGTTTCCTACCTTGCGCGTAAAGTTT